TTTCTCCAAAGGACATACAAACGGGCAACAAACACATGAAAACATGTTCATCACTCACCATCAGGAAAATGCAAATCAAAACCACAATGTGATATCACCTTACACCTTTCAGAATGGCTAAAATAAAAACTCAGGAAACAACAAGTGTTGGTGAGGATGTGGAGAAAAAGAAGCACTTGTACACTGTTCGTGAGAATGCAAACTGGTGCAGCCACTGTAGAAGACAGTATGGAAGTTCTTCAAAAAATCAAAAACAGAACTAGCCTATGATCCTGTAATTGCACTACTGGCTATTTATCTGAAGAATATGAAACACTAATTCAAAGGGATACATGCACCCCTATATTTATTGTAGCATTATTTACAATAGCCAAATTAGGAAAGTAGCCTGTGTCCATCAATGATGAATGGATAAAGAAGATGTAGAGTGTGTGTGTGTGTGTGTGTGTGTGTGTGTACAAATACACACACAATGGATTATTTAGTCATAAAAGAATGAAATCTTGCCATTGACAACAACATGGATAGATCTAGAGAGTATAATGCTAAGTGAGATAAATCAAAGAAACACCATACAATTTCACTGAAATGTGGACTTTAAGAAACAAAAGAAATGAACAAAGGAAAAAAGAGACAAACAAAAAAACAGACTTTTAACTATAGAGAACAAATTGATGGTTACCAGAGGGAGGTAGGTCGGGATATGGGTGAAATAAGTGAAGGGGATTGAGAGTACACTTATCCTGATGAGAAGTGAGTAACAGAATTGCTGAATCACGACACTGTACACCTGAAACTAATATAATACTGTATGTTGACTATACCGGAATTAAAATCTAAAAAAAAGGAAATGAAAAGGCAACTCAGAATGAGAGAAAATATTTGCATATCCTATATTTAATAAGGGACTTATATCCAGAATCATGAAAGACTCTTATAACTCAATAATAAAGAAAATCTGATTAAAATATGGGTAGAGAATCTGAACAGACATTTCTCCAAAAATATATAAATGGCCAATAAGTACATGAAAAGATATTCAACATCTGGGAAATGCAAATCAAAACAATGAGATACCAGGGTGCCTGGGTGGCTCAGTTGGTTAAGCATCTGCCTTCGGCTCAGGCCATGACCTCAGGGTCCTGGGATCGAGTCCTGCATTGGGCTCCCTGCTCAGCAGGGAACCTGCTTCTCCCTCTGCCTCTGCCTCTCCTCCCTGTTCCTGCACTCTCTCAAATAAATAAATAAAATCTTAAAAAAAAAATGAGCTACCACTTACCAGGGAAATTCCAAAATTCCTCTGAAAGAGAAAATTTGATAGAAAAATAGAGGAGCACAAGAATGAGCCATATTAAAGCCAGAAACAAACTCAGGTATGTGTGCAAAGTTAATATGTGATAGAGCTGGCACTGTAAATTAGCAAAGAGATAATGCTGCTCAGTGTATTATTTGGCAACAATTAGCTATCTGAAGAAAATCAAACAATCTATCATGATACATGATAAATTCTAGATAAAAGTGTAAAGTTATTTATCATAAAAAAGCTATAAATATAACAGAAGAATATATATTGTAATACCTTTGTTATTATTAAGACAATATTACTAAGCAAGAAATAGTATTCAGATTTATTATTAAGCAAAATACAAATCCCAATAAACAGGGGAAGAGTTGACAAATTTAAATGAATTAAAAATTTTAAAAATTTAATATAATAAATCACCATAAAGCTAAAAGGCAAACATAATAGGAACAAAGTTCTGCATTTTTTTTTTAGCAAAGGATTAGTTTTTAGAAAACCTAAAGAACTCCTACAAAGCAAGAAGAGCCATAAATATAAAATAAAGTAAAAAGCAATCATAAGACAGAAGCAGAAACTACAGAGAAACACAAATACTAATGCCACCCACCACATAAATCTAAAATACACACAACCTCACAATTGGGAGAGCATTTTTTCCCCATTAGATCAACAAATATTTAAATATGTGTTAACACTCAGTATAGCAAGCTTACAGGGAAATGAGTATTCCTAAACACCAATGGTAGAATCATATAAATTGTTACAGCCTCATGAAGGGCACCACACATTAATTTTAAAATGCGTAAACTCCTCAGCCAAGCAATTCCACTTCTAGGTTATCTATTCTAGAGAAATAGTTGCAGATTTACATAAAGAGTTACAACATTCAATATGTTCACTGCAACTCTGTCTTAATATATAAGAATTGACACCTCAGTGCTTATCAGTACGGGGAAAATTAACCAAGTTAGGGAAAATTCATAGTATTCAAAATATTAAAGAATGAGGTATATAAGAGTGATATTAAAAGTTCCAGTGGTACTGTAAAAAAATCAAGCTTCATAATATATGCATCATGATCAGACTTATATTTAAAAAATAAAGATCTATGGCTGTGTTCAGAAATTAGGAAGGGTATCTACCTAGTGGTTATGGATTTTATCCCTGGGAAGGAGAGGTTGGCGTGGGAGGTACTAATGGGGGATATTTTATTTTTATCCTATATACCTCTATTATTATTTGAGTATTTACAATGATAATATTACATGATCATCTAAATTTAATAAACCTATAACTGGAATTACATGTTGAAAACCTATAATTAAAGAGCCACCCAAAAGCCCAGCATTCAGAGCACCAAACATTCATCTATTGTTGGTGCATATTCTTTCATTTTATGATTATACACTTCATAGCCAATACCTTTTTACATCTGAAATTTTATGTTCTTTCAGAAGTTAACATTATTTCATGAGGATGTTCCCTTAATAAAAAAAAACAAACACTTTTCCTCATCTATTGACTAAGGCAATATAGTCATCTTACGTATTAAGAAAAGCATTTCCTTTGTCTTTTTGTGGTTCATGTGAGAATTATCCTTGAATCATAGTCCATACATGTGATAAAGATGATCAGCGGAAAGCTAAGTGAGGTCACTGGAGTTGAAGTGTTTGCTTTTCCTTAACCTAAACAGAGGAACTTCAAGGACAACATAAACCACTTCTGCCTCTTTAGAATCAATCAGATAAATGAGACAGTATAGTACTTGGTAAGAGCTCAATAAACAGCTGTTTTAAGAAGTATACTCTATTTCTTTTTTTTTAATTTTTTTTAAATTATACTCTATTTCAATGTGAAAAGTACCTAGTAGCAACTTCTATATTTGTAAGTTTAGCAATACGTACCAAGTCGATCACAACAATGCACATGTACTTAATGCCACTGAACTGTACACTTAAAAATGGTAAAATGGTAGATTTTGTTATGTATATTTTACCACAATACAATAAGCTTAAAAGCTATACTAATTAGTAGAGCCTATAATAAAAACTCATTACTTATTTGATATTTGATTGATTGAAGTTACCAGAAATTCCAGATCAAGCCCAATCCAGAAAGTCAGCAACAAAGTATGGATCTGTGTGTTATAAAATAAGTGCTCTAGGTGCACCTGGGTGGCTCAATTGGTTAAGCGTCTGACTTCAGCTCAGGTCATGATCCCAGGGTCCTGGGATCAAGTCCCACATTGGCTCCTTGCTCAGTGAGGAGCCTGTTTCTCCCTCTGTGTGCCACTCCCCCTGCTTGTGCTCTATCTCTGTCTCTCTCTCTCTGACAAATAAATATTAAAAAAATAAAAATAAAAATTTGCTTTCACCTCTCTTAGAATCTAGGGTTTCAAAGTTACTGAACAGTTTTCCACTTATCTTAATTTCTTACACGTAAATCACCAAGGTTTATTCTGAATGTAGGAGTAAAAAGAATAAATACAGCTTATTTCATTAACACAAAGTTCGTGAGTAAAAAGTTAGTGGAGCCTATGTTTGAGATATTTATTCATGAGACCCTAACATATCCTATGAAATGCTACTATTTAAAATTTAAATCTCAGGACACCTGGGTGGCTCAGTCAGCTAACCATCTGCCTTCGCCTTGGGTCACGGTCCCAGGGTCCTGGGATCGATTCCCACATCAGGTTCCTTGCTCAGCAGGAAGCCTGCTTCTCCCTCTGCCTGCCACTCCCCCTGCTTGTGCTCCTCTCTCTCTCTGACAAATAAATAAAATATTACAAAAAATTTAAAAAAATTTAAATCTCTAAGGTTACAATGGGAATAGTTATTAAGGTAGAACTTCTTGGGGCACTTTGGTAGCTCAGTTGGGTAAGCATCTGACTCTTGGTTTCAGCTCAGGTTATGATCTCAAGGATCCTGAGATTGAGCCTGCAGAGGTCTCTGTGCTAAGCAGGGAGACTACTTGAAGATTCTCTTCCTCAGCCCCACCCACCCCCGCGTGCACAGGCGCGCATACGCCCGCATGTGCTTTCCTCGCTCTATTTTTTTTCTTTTTTTTAAAGGTAGAACTTCCCACCATAGGCTGTGCATGTCCTGGAACCCTGGACTCACTGTGATCTAAGCCAGAGTTTATATTTGGACAGTTATTCTGAGAACTGTAATATTACTAGTTCTGGGCTGATGAATGAGTCTATAGATTAACTGAGTGTATAAGCAGATACAATATTTAAAAAATTGCTGAGAATTTATGAGAGCTTTTAAAGTGTGAGTATATTCTTTCTCTGTCCTTATAACTAGAAGAAATGTATTTGGTATCAGTGGAGATTAATAGGTTAATAGGAGAGTTAAAAGAAAAGTCCCTGGATTGCAAAATCATGTTTCACATATCAACAAGGAATTAACAGGGAAAAGAAAATATGAAGTTTCACAAAAATTCTTGTGGCCAGTGCTATAGCACCCGCCAAGGAGACGAGTTTATTTCTAGTCTAGTTTATTCCTAGAAAACAAATGTAGCAAAGGTTAATTTTTCTGTCACTGACATACTGAGACTGTATTTTTCTATTAGCAATGATTTTATCACTTTAAAAAATTATGCAATATATTATACTCCTTCCCTTTCTGCTAATCAATGTTTCACATTAAAAATTTTTAAATGCCCTTTTTAGTGAAAGTAAAACTTATTTCCAGAATTTTAAATAAAGTTGTTGGAAATATTATAAATTGTGGTTTTCATGAGAAGGCGTTACCTGCCTTCAACATTGGGATGAAAAACAAGGCTAAAATGCCCAATAGCAAGCTAGAACTCCTCCACCATAAATTGGTTGACTTTTCAGTCTGAAATATGATTCTACAACCCAAGCAATTTCACGCAGCAATAAAGAAAAAGTGGTATGTAATATTAACAGCAAAACTCCACTAACTTACTGAAAGCAATTTGGCCCAAATACAGTGGCGAGGTTGTGGACGTTCATGCGATTCTGCACATGGTGCTTGGCTACTTTTGTCAAGAACTGGCATAGGTACTTGAGGAGGCAGTAGTGGGTGTCTGGCAGCTCTTCTATCAAGTCTCTTAAGCTACTCTCCTGAGCATCATTTCTGTCATCTGGAAAGAAAAAGGATAAAAAATGCTCTCAGGCATATTTCACAGTAACAAAAACAAAAGCACAGAGGCATAATAAGGTCTAACATTTTATTCAGGAAAAAATTCCTGAAGACTTAAATCAGCCATTGGAAAGGGGGGGCAGTTTTGCCCTTTGATTTTAGAGCATTTAACTTTTTTTAATGTTAAAGATTTACTAACTTATTCAAGACATCCTGAAAATCATGAGCTTTACTCAGTGCATAAAATGGGTTCATATTTCACTTCTGTGTGTTCCTTACCCAAAATTAAGATAAAGGTTAGCTTTTTATCCATAGTGGAACCTCCCATTTGATTACTGTCTTGAAGTTGTTTAAAAACAAGAATCTCTTAGTTGAATAAAATTTACTACAAGAGACATTCCTGGGTCATCATGAACAAGACTAAACTTAGTTGTCAGGAAATCTGTAGCTAGAGAAAAATGAAGGAAACTTTTAATTTCTATATAGCTTTTTATCTCTCCCATGTCAGAGTTTAGAATTTGATATGTGCCTCTCATACAAAAACCAAAAATATCTAACAGTGAGCCAAAATTCAGACATATGGAAAGTTTCCTTCAATTCTCAGATTTATGTGTTTTGTCAATATCTAAATACAGTCCTTTTAGGCACATGTCTAAGACAATGAAAACTTAATCCAGTTACTACTAATATACATTGGATTCCTTAATTTAGATAGGTCAGCTGCTTTAGCCAGTCAAGTGAATAAGAAACAGTAAAGTGAGGCAAATGTGACACAAAGGAAGTGGATTAGTCAGTGGTACAAAATTTATGCATAGCATTAGGCCATCGAAGGAAGTGAAAATCCAGAAAACATGCACAAAGTCACAGAAAGTGTGGCTGAGTGGCTGCAGAGCAAGGATTCGGAAGTTAGGCTCAGGAGTCACTTTCTGGGTTAGGATCCTGGTTCTGCCACTATGTGACCTTAGACTCTATACTAAACCATTTCCTCATTTATAAATGGAAATACTAACTACCTCATAGGGTTGTGATGAGGATTAAGAGTTTCAATTTGCAAACTACTTAAAACACAGAGGTTGACACATGGTAAGCACTATGTAACTACTTGTTAGACAGAGTAACTTCTTTTACTTTACCTTCATTAATTTGGTTTTAGGAGAACACTGAGGTTTTAATTAAATGCTTTTAATATGAGTCCATTTCACCCTTTTGAACGCTAGAATAAGGGATGCTGCCAAAAATAGCAATGCCAAAAATGTGTAGACTTCAATTATTGTTAAAATCGTTTTGGAGAACATTCTATATATGATTGGAGTAATTATTTCTCACTGATCACCAACAATGTGATCCAATAATCTATACAAGGTTTATGGAAAAACAGTTTTCTTGATATTAGAAAATTTTCACATTAAATTACTTTAAAAAAAGAAATCATATACAAATACTTTGGTATTCCCTAAAAACATGTGGTGTGTTGCTTATGATGGCATTATTTTCCACTGAATTATGATCTTGACTATGTAAGAAATGGAAATAATTAAGTTTGGAGTAAAAACTGAAAACTACCCATTTCTCATACCTTCATGGTTAGAAATAAATATGTTCTACAAGAAAATGAATTCTATTTTGTCTTTTTAATTTTCTTACAGTGACTAATCCAAAGTGAATCTGGATGTTTTCATGGGTGTGTACTGTCTGTTTAAAACTGTGGTTTAATTCCAGCATTTAAGGATACAGGCAACAGCATTCCAACAGCCTTGATAATGGGGCCGTTCGTCTTCTGGCTCTGAAATGAAACCTCAAATCCTAAGGCAGGCAATATGTGAAGACACCAGATTGAATAAAACAAATATTGAAAACAGTTATGAGTGGGGCGCCTGGGTGGCTCAGTCGTTAAGCGTCTGCCTTCGGCTCAGGTCATAATCCCAGGGTCCTGGGATGGAGCCCTGCATCGGGCTCCCTGCTCAGCAGGAAGCCTGCTTCTCCCTCTCCCACTCCCCCTGCTTGTGTTCCTGCTCTCACTATCTCTATCTCTAATAAAAAAAAAAACAAAACAGTTATGAGTTTATGACAATAACATCTTTGAAAGAGCGGGAGTACTTTCACCATTTACTTCCAATTTTTGAAATATGATAAATAATTTTCCCAGGAAATAAAACTGACAATAGGAAGGGAGACAAATACATTCAGAGAATCTCAAACCTAAAAAAACAACATAATTCCTTTAGAGCATGAATGGAAGAATCAACAAATATGTTCTCAAAAAGAAAAAGTAGTTGAGGAAAAAGTATCTTCCGTCTCCTATGATGGAAGACAGATTCAGTGATTGACTCACTAAGTGAGTATGTCAGTGTCCTCTACCTCAGAAGTTGTAATGGCAACACACTCACTTTGAACGCTGAATATTCATAATTTACCTCCCAACTCTGTTCAAATATACTGACAGTGCAGTAGAGACCTTGATTTATTAGCATAACATTTCTCATCACCTCTTTTCCTACTAATTATGTGTTGACATACTGAGAATCTGTAATTTGTGCTGTTTCTAGAAATGTGGTAAATATCACTGCTACACTCAGCCTGCAGCAATCTTATAGACAAGATTTCCAATAATTGCTCAACACCTTTAAAAGAGGCTTCTAGGGGCGCCTGGGTGGCTCAGTCGGTTAAGCATCTGCCTTCAGCTCAGGTCTTGATCTCAGGGTCCTGGGATTGAGTCCTGCATCAGGTTCTCTGCTTGGTGGGGAGTCTGCTTCTCCCTCTCCCTCTGTTCTCTTTCTTTCTGTCTCTCTCCCTCTCGCTCTCTCTCAATAAATAAAATCTTTAAAAAAATGTTTAAAAAAAAACTAAGGAGGCTTCTAGAGGTATGCCTAGCACAGCAAGTGGGGGTGGGGGTGATTGGAGGGGAAGCAGTATTGGTATAAATGTGCCTTTTGATGACTGAGAGCAAAAGCTTATAATAATTACTTTATTATTGTTTGCATTATTTTTTGATTTGCTGATACCTAAATATAATAAACACTGCCTTGCCATTCATGTTCTTGCATTGATATTGGTAATTACAATGGCTTCAAGGTCTCATATTATTAAAAAAGCAAGCAATGCTTCTATTTTTGTGAACATTTATTCATTATACTTATGCTATGTGTGATATTTATCACATGCTTTCTGTGTGTCTGGCATTCTCTAGGGATACAGCACTGCAAACAAACTTTTATAAAAGTTATAATGGGAGAGACAGACAGTAGTCTAATAATATATATGTGAGTGGTAACATAAATGCTCTGAAGAAATAGAAGGTAGGACAATGAGGAATAAAGCAGAGTGATATGGGAGTGGGAACGTTATTTCACTCAGCATGATCTGGGAAGGCCCCTCGGACATGGCGACAATTAAGCAGAGAGCTGAAGGAAAGAGGGAAGCGCATGCTAAGCAGTAGAAATGGCAAGGGTGAAGGCCAAGTGTTGGGAGAGTGGCAGGAAATGAAAACAGGAGACAGTGGAGGAAAGAGCTAGGGAAGATCATTACAGTCTTATTATAAACCATGTTCCCTCCCCTTCAACCCTGAGTGAGGGTTTTGAGCTGTGAGATTTGCAAAGGACCACTCTGGTTGCTGTGTTGAGTCTGGACTGTAGGGTGCGCAGTGGAAAGCTGGCTGCTGAGCTGGGAGAGGCCAGACCCAGAGAGAGAGGCTGGTTGCCTGGAGCAGGTTGATAGCAGTGAGATGGTAATGCAGGGGCCAAATTCTGGATATAGTTTGTATCTTGTCTGTTTTACACATGGAAGTTGTTCATTTTATATATGAAAAATGCATGCATGTAATACACATTCAGTCATTCAACAACTATTTACTGAGTGGCTATTCTGTGCCTGGCACAATTCTAAGCATTTGGGATATATCAGAAAACACAAACAGAAATCCCTGCCCTCAGGGAACTTATATTCTAGTAGGTGAGACCTTAAGCAATAAAAACAGAATTCAGAGCACCGGTTGGGGTGAGGGTGGTGATTACAATATAAATAAGATTGTCAGCAAGGCCTCATTGAGAAAACATTTGATGTTTATTGGCAGTTAAAAAAAAATCCACAAACCAGCAAATGTAAGCTCATTCAGAGCTGGTTGGAGGCTGAGGTTTAAACATCTTTTAAAAGCCTTGCATATAAAAAGTGATAGTTTTAATAGACTGATACACACTTTTAAGATACACGGATAGTAACATTAACTAGTATACAAATAAAGAGACATCTATATTCCAAATATATCTTGAAGAAATAACGAATAATTTAGTCCATTTACACATCTAGCTGAGCTGAAGTGTTAAGTAGGAAGGGGATCAGAGTATTCAAATCATAACAAAAGTGTCATTTGGTGGTCAGAGGATAAGGATACTCAGCAATGAAATTCCACAGAATGGTCTCTGAAACAGAAGTGAAATGTACCTCTGCAGTTGTATTAAAATATTTTAACCGTTGGGGCACCTGGGTGGCTCAGGCGGTTAAGCATCTGTCTGCCTTCTGCTCAGGTCATGATCTCAAGGTCCTGGGATCCAGCCCCTCCTCCCGCTCCCTGCTCAGTGGGGAGCCTGCTCCTCCCTCCCACTTGTGCTCTCTCTTGCTCTCTCTCTCTCAAATCTTTAAAAAAAATATTTAACTGTTTAAACTTATAGTTATTTCTAGAATTAAAATCAAATAAAAATTAGAATACGTTATAATTTATGAGCCAAAAGGTTTAAGAAAACTTTGCAGATGGAGTAATGGTTAATAATTGAAAGTCATCATTTTCCTTAACATTAATCTTTTCCTAGGACAAGAACTTTCTCCACTAGTGAAAGCCACTTCAAATTATACAAGTTTTCTTGAAAGCTTTCATTTGTTGTTGGCTAAATTTCACCCATTTCTCAAGCTAAAACACAAAAATAAAACAAGCACAGTATATATGCAGAGAAAACTACTCAGACTTAAAGACTGTGCCATGAAAACTTGCATCCCAGAGTAAGTAGCAAA